ATTTCATGTCCCCGATATACTCTGTCATTCATAAACATTAACTTAGCCAGAAAACCACCCAACACCTTTTTGTTTGCCTGTCTATGGTGAGGAAAAACTTGGGTTCTTGAACATGTATGTTTATCAATAAAAGTCCTAACTTGAAACATTTCGCAATCTTTTATCCTCTTTGCAATCATATGCCATGTACAGTTTTGTCAATCATACACTTTGTTCCGAAACGATCTTTGCTTGATTTGTTAACTTTTAGTTGATAGACATCTTCCATACATTTCGTATACAAAGCTATCTTCAAGTGTTCCTTTGTATCAAAACAATCATCTTTCTTGATATGAATAACTTTTGTGTAACAATCAACTACTATCTTTACCAACTCTTTTTCCAGTATCTAAGTAATTCTGGCATATTCCAGTTATACTCCCGTGGCATTTTCTTCTTTTTCTTTTCTTCGGGGAATTCTTCTTCTTCTTTTTCTTCTTCAGGGTTATATGAATTACATAATGGATGTTCAACATATTCATTCACAGTCGTAACTTCCTCCTCATTATCATCAACAACATCTTCCTCGGCAACAGCTGTTTTATCTTCAAAATTCGGGTATTGACCAATATCAAAATCATTACACACAGAGTTGTTTCTTCTTCTGAAACATCATCAAAATCCGAGTATTGACCAAGATCAAAGTTCGGGTATTGACCAAGATCAAATTTCGAATACTGAGTAATACTCACAATTTTTTATGTTGGCTCATAATCGTCTAACTGGTCAATACGAAAACCATAATTTGGTGCTGAAAGTGGATTGAGATTTGGATTAGGAAAATGTTGTGGGTTTTGAGATTGTGTTTGGTATTGGAAATGTGGTGAAACAAAATTTTCTTGGTGATGAAATTGTGGTGGAACCATTAAATTTTGAGGTTGATAACAACGTTGTACATTGTGAGCACTATAAACTGGGGTTGAAGAACTGAGTTGATTACTACCCACTACTGACCTAACTTCACTACTTCTAGGTTCAACAACATACAATGTAACATCATCTTGCGAAACACTAATGTAAGCAATGAATCGTTCAACATCTTCATTGTCGGTTAACAAATAAACTTTACCTTTTTTTCTGATAAGATAACCTAAATCCACTTAGAGGCTCTAAATTCAATTTCTTTACAACACGTAACATTAGAGTTTCATAAGTTAACTTTTTTAATGACAATTTTAGTTGAAGATTCATGGGTAAAGGCACATATTGTAAAACACCATGAACATTCTCCCATGACCCTCCAAAACACAAATCTATCCAAACATGATCAACATTAGATGATTTCATTCTATAATTTGTAAATTAATTTACTAAACAAATGAGCTATAAACTAGATATCAGCACTAACTTAGAGAAAAACATACCTTTATTAAGTTGATAGTTGATAATTTGGGAGAGAAATCATTGAAAATTTGTATAGGAATAAAATTATGTTAAAAAAATTAGAGATGGAGAAGGATGTCGTTGGATATAGGAACGAATGTTGTCGGAGAGAGTGATAGATGGAGATGGAATGAGTTGCGATTTAGGTATTTAGGTTATGTGTTGTTGCTGCTGCGTAGTTATATACAAAAAAACATTTGTGTTGTGAAACTAAAACCTGTTGCGAAATTAAATTCATGTTGCGAATTTGAAATTCAGTGTTGCGAATTTGAAATTTAGTGTTGCGAATTTAACTTCTGTGTTGCGAATTTGACTTTTGTATTGTGAATTTGACTTCTGTGTTGCGAATTTGACTTCTGTGTTGCGATTTACATAATCGTGTTTCGAATTTGGAAACTGGGTTGCGAAATAGTAGTTCGCGTTGCGAATTTGTTGGTCATTTTCGCAAATCCAAAAAAGGTTTGTTAAAATCGTATATTATCAGGCATTTTCGGTCACTGGGTTATTTTCTCTATATTAAATGAATAAAAAGTTTAGAACGCATTTTAAACATTGATATTTACCATTAATTTTATAAAGTAAAATTTATAAATACATATTAAATTATATCAAAATGATTATTTTAAACACCAAATTTTCAAAAATTATATAAGAGGTATTAAACTTTAAATTTTATTACAAAATGACCACAACACCATTATCTACCCTTAAAGAGATGATGTGACAAGTTAAATTAATAAAAAAAATCTCATTTGATCATTTAATTAATTGTAATTAAAACTTCATTTTACTATTACTTTTAATTAAAATAATTTTTATTGTGTTATTTAAATTGAAAACAAAACGGATATAAATAAATTAAATATTATTTTAGTATCATATTATAAATATTGAATTTATACAATATAAATTACTTGATACATTATTACAAGTTAAGGATTGTTTCGATTATTTTTAATTAAGTTTGGACGTATTTTTCTTATTAATGTGATACTATAATTTTCTAGATGTATTTTTTAAAATTGTGTTTAAACTTATTAAACAAAAGTTAGATGCTTGAATCATATCGTTTGATAAAAAATAATTACATTGTTTGATAATTCAAGTTTTGGTTCTCAAAAATTATAATTTTTTAATTTTACAAATACAATCATGATTAATAAATAATTAGTTATAAAATAATATGACGAATGGGTAAATGTCAAAAAATATAATTTTTAATTTTAAAAATAAATTATTTTCATATGTTTTTTAAAAAATTATAAATTTTCTATTTTTTTAAATTATTACTTAAAATACTAAAAATATCAAAATAAAATTTTAATTATAATTGAGGGGTAAAATGAGATATTTCCTACTAATTTAGCATGTCATATCACTCATTTAACAATATCTCATACTCACTATGTATTTTTAATAAAATCCGAAGCTTAATGTCTATTTTATAACTTTTAAAAATCCAATGATAAATTAAATTATTTTAATAAATTTAATAATCATTTCTGAATTTTATCATATTTTAATATTAGTAATGTATATCGGTGCACATCATTAATGGTGCACATTGGTGTGTGTCACTCACTCTAGACTCATCCTTTTTGCAAACATAAATTTTAATTAGACGTATGGTTGAACAAAGCAAAGAGTAATATTTTAGGAATAATAATTGATTTTAGATCATCATCAACCAACAATTGACCAAAATATTTTGAAGCAAATGAATACGTATGTCTTCAATCTTTTGTCATTAAAAGAAAAATCTTATGATTGCTCTGACGAACATATTAATTAATCTTGAGAGAGAAAAAAAGAAAAAAACCCTTAAAGGCGTTAGAGAAAACAATATACGAACATATTAATTAATATCATGTTAATTTAAATAATTTATTCATAATGATATTTGTGCCTTTTTCTTTTTCAGCTACATCTAATATGATTTGAAATTTTTTCGCCAAACTTTATGCCATGTTTGAATTTTCCCCCTTTGCATTAATATTTACTTCTTTCAAGGTTTTCCTTCCTACATTCGAATTTATGAACGATGGACATTTTCCCCCCTGAAAATGATGAAAAAAAAACCAGTTATTTCAAATATTAAAAGAATTATTCAAAACGATCATCGTAGACACACCAATAGATGGGAAAATTAAGGTAAAAGGTCAATTAAAATATGGGTTCGGTCCAAATTGTGTGGTGTATATTCAATTGCTTTAAAAGTTTTAAGCATTGATGGTCGATTATAATTCTAGAATGGCTCTTTCTTTGATTATTTTTTTCAATTATTTGTTCAACCAATGTTTTGAATTATAATAAGATTTTGACAGATCGTCCATTATTTTGGTTTTCTTGGAAAATATGGACCCATGAGTTTGGCTGTCAAGATTGCTTGCTTTGTTACAACATATACACTATTATGTGTATAAGCCATATGTTCATTTAAAACTCGCTTAATTTAATCGTATGCTAATTTATATATGGTAGATTATCAGTCTAGATTTATATATATTGTTTTTATATAGTAGTTTTTAAATGGTTTAATACTTAAAATGCCCTCTATACTCTAGTGAAGATTTCCTGTCCTTTTTTAAAAAAAATCAGTTAATTCCCCCCTTAATTTTCAGTTCGTTATATTATTAGGTCCTTGGCCATTTCCACTTAGAAAATTTTATGTAATCCAATTAGTTTTTTTCGTGTATAATAAAAGAATAAAAAAATCAAATGAAATCATAAAAGTGTAAAAAAATATTTTAAAATCGAAAATTTAATAAAAATGTAAAATGTTTTTATATTTCTATTTTATTGTATTTTTCTGAATATTTTTATAATTTTATTTAATTTTTACTATTTTTGAGAGAGTTATTACATTTATTATATGTGACAAAATCTTAATGAACTATGGCTTTGTTAACAGAAAAAAAAATCAAGGATACTGATTCTAGAAATTTTAAAGTTATTGAAAAGATGATGAAATGGATAAAATGAAAATAAATGTTGGAGAGAAGATAATTTTTACATTGATACGGTCCAACTAAAAAATCGATATTATTTCATTTTATCTTAAAACTGGTTTATTAGTATAGATCCAGGGCCAATTATATTAACACTTAAAGATAAAGTTTAAAATAAAAAATTAAAATATTTAAATAAAAAATATATAAAAATTTAATATCATACAATAAACTGTATAAAATAAGTTTTAAAATTAAAATAATATAATAACATTTATTATATTTAAAACTAATAAAAGCTTCTATTAAAAAAACTAATAAAGTCTTAGATGTATTAAGAGGTCGGCTGTACTGGTCCACCAACATATACCACTCGTTGCCCGAGTTATATGCCAAACGAACTCAGTCGCACTGTAAAGGAAGTACAAAACTGAGCCATACATATTCAATTCACTTTTTCATAGTTCAAGTCCTAACTCCCAATTCGAAATTCTCATTGACTTCCTTTTCTCCTCAGATTTTTTCCAATGGGAAATAGGGGCTTTTAACTTAAAGTTGTAATTTTATTATAGAAAATTTATTTTTATATTTTAGCAACAACTAATGTAATTCACATGTTCCAATTCAGTATTGAGTCCTGGACCGAGTCATCTTCTGGAAAGAAAACACTATAAATCTTCCCTTCAACGTTCTATATTTCCTCAACGTCAAGTTTTTTTCTCTGTTCATTCCTCTACTCCGCCAAAAGCTGTCGAATCTAAAGAAGCGAAAGGTTAATTGTATTTTAGGGGAACGAAATGAAAGCAGGTTTAGTTGTGGATGGCGATTATATATACGAAGCAGAGAAGCATCTAACGGTTCTCAAAACTTCGCTTTTCTTCGCCAACGATGGCTTCACTGTTTACGATTGTAAAGGTCAGTTGGTTTTCCGAGTTGACTCGTACGGTCCCGACCCTCGAGGTAAGGCCGAAGTTGTTCTAATGGATGCTCATGGAAGATGCCTTCTTACTGTTAGGAAAAAGGTAAGCGATTTGACTTGGTTTGTTTGAATATGTTTAGTGTAATGAAACAGTAATTGGATTTGCTTTAATGGGTTGTTTTATGATTTGATTTGGATTAAGGGGTATAGATTCGGTTTACATATTGTTCAAGAAATGTTGATTAACTTGTTCGTGGAGGGTTCTGACATTTAAACGATTTGACTCGGTTTGTCTGAGTTTGTTTACTGAAATGGGACCATATTTGGATTTGCTTTAATGGGTTCTTTTATGATATTATTTGGTTAAATGAGTATAGATTTGATTTCCATATGGTTTTAAAAATGTTGGTTACTCTTTCATGGAGGGTTATTACTTGTGAGTCAACTCGCCAGATACTTTTCTTTTTCCTTATTAGTTTTGATTACCTAAACAGAAGCAAATACAAAACCTAATTTAGATTTTTACCAATTGGGGCATTCTATTCTATATAGGGAAAATAAAGGTATTTTCAAATTTAGTGAATTAACTCGCCGATAAAATTTTCTTCTCCATTGTTTTACCTAAACAGAGGCCGAGTTTGCATCACCGGTGGGAAGGGTTTCTAGGCGAAAGATCAGAGGGTCAGAAACCGGCCTTTAGTGTGAAAAGATCGTCGATAATCGGACGGTGTGGAATGGCAGTGGAGGTGTTCAACAATCCTGGGGAGGAGTACCAGATCGAAGGAAATTTCGGACAGCGAAGCTGCACGATCTTCAATGCGGCCAAGGAACAAGTGGTTGAGATTAAACGCAAAGTTGATGTTTCTAGTAACGTGGTACTTGGTAAGGATGTCTTCCTGCTTTCCTTGAAACCTGGTTTTGATGGGGCCTTTGCTATGGGTTTGGTGCTCGTTCTTGATCAGATCAACGGTGATGAATATGTGGTGAATGATGAGTCTGAGATGAGCCCTACCGCACAGGATTAATGTGTTATGTATTTTATAAATTTCTTAATATTGGCTTTAGATTTCTTTTTCTTTTTCTTAAGGGGTGTTTGAATGGGGAATGTGAGATTCTCATGGGAATAAAATCTACATTCTCTCGTTTGATTAGTCCGAGAATCATATTCTCGGTAATGTAAGATTATTAATAGTGAATTTTTTGAGATATATTATCGGGAATGTCATTATCTCCCTTTCTTTACATATTATTGGATTACCGATATTTTTGGATTAAAAAGTCCTTAATTTTTTTTCAAAAATATTCTTCTTCTGTTATTGAATAATAAAAATTCTACTAATGTTAAATTACAAATTTATCCTTAAACTATTTTAAATTTACAAAAAAAGTCTATAATTAAAATTTTATATGAAGTTCAGGGGTTAAAATAAAATGTTTACCCTTTCATTAAACCTTTTTATATTTTAATTTTTGTAAAAAAAATTATATAAATTTTATGAATTTAAATTTTTTAAAGAAAATATATAAATATTTTCTAACTTGTTAAAAAAATAAATATATAATAAGGATAATTTGATCAAATATACATTATAATAATAATCTTTTATTCCTTTAACCAAACACGGTAATCTTACATTCCTGCTAAGCCAACCAAATACAAAATACAACATTCCCAGTGTAATTTTACATTCCGTGAACCAAATACACCCTAAAAGTTTGACCCGTTGACAAAGAGAGTGAAAAATAAAAATAATAAAAGTTTGTATATTCTTACAACAGTGATAAGGATTGTCCTTGAAGAGGGCCAAAATTATTGTCGTTTCTATAAAATATACTAATATGCAAGAATTTTCGTATTCAATATTATATTAGAATTTGTAAATTGACAAAATAAATAAAACATTAAACTTTGAGTTTAATTTAACTGATTTTTATATAAATAATAATTTTTAATATTTAAATCAAAGATAATTATATTTAAGCGTATTTGGTTTTACAGTTCTATGAATGTTATAACAACAATAGTAATGAAACTAATGCTCAATTGATTTATTTTCTTCAATAAACATATAAAAATATCAGTTATTTTGGAGGAAAATCAAATATTTAACATTTTGCTTTTGTTGGAATAGTTCTTTTAAATAATGCAACAGTGAGAAATGAATTTATATATAATACTACTGTTGAAATACTGACGATTAAACTCTTTAACTTAATAAAACAAAATATTTATCAAATAATATTAAAATCGTGAGTTTTGACGTGATAATTGCTTACTTTATTCCTTAATCACATAGAATGTCATCCTACACGTGATGATTAAACATATTTTATAATCTATCATTTACTCTTTTTAAAAACATATGTTTTAAATTGTAATAAAATAATCATGACAATATATTTAAACTAGGTCAGCATAATTCGTTTAATAATAGATGTCGCATTTTTTTATTTAGAATTTTGACACATTTACTAATTCATATATAAATGAATCTTGAGCGTATATCTATCCTCTTTTATAATACCAATGAGATGATTGAAAGAGAACTCTTGTGAAATATATTTTTTTTATTTAAGTGATCTATAATAATTAATCTAGTCATTTATAAAATTATTTTATGACCATTTAATCATTAGAAACAAGAAAACATGTTGTTATCATCTTAATTATCAGATACCAAATGAAAATATTATGTCACTTGAATAATATTCTTTTATAAATCAAGTAATCAAATATATAATTTATTATTCTTTAAGATATCAATTTATTTTTTGAAACTTCAAATTCTACTTCATGGAAAAGGGAAAAATTCTAATGGTTGATGAAGTATTTTGAAAACAAAAATAGAATGATGAAAATAAAAATTATATTAAAATAAATCATTAAACATATAATTTATCCAAAAGTAAAGGAAAAGCAAAGCCAATTCTTGTGGAGTTGATTGTTCTTTTTATTAACTATAGAAGACTAAAAGATTCACGGTCGACCACAAAAACAATGAGTGGATGTAAAAGTGATAGAGTAAATAAGGCTATAAAAAACTGACATGACTTGTAAAAATGACTGAAATTGACTCGAGTCAAAATTGTTTTTGGCCTGAACTGTCGTAATCCGAAATCGACTCAAGTCGAAACTGGTGTTGATCTGAACCCAATTTGGACCTGGAAATTATGGATCCGAACCCGACCTGCATTCGACTTTAGAACATCCTGAACCTGAATTAAACTGAAAATATGATACCTGAACCCGAACTACATCCGACTGATATGAACTCGAACCCGAGATTGACCTGGTAAATAACTGGTATTACCCGACCTGTTTTCAACCTAACTTATTTTTAACCTGACCTGTAAATGATCCGACTTGTTAATGATCTGATCTAATATTTACCTGACTTATATATTACCATGGACGAAATTATAAGATTTTAATAAAATTATGGGTTTTTTAATTTATGATGTAATTAAAAAATTAATATGATTACTTTTTAAATGTTATAATAAAATATTTATTATGATAATTAAATTAATAAATAGACCTATTATATAAAATTATTTAAATGTAAATTAGATAAAACATGATTAATAATGCAAAGGAAAATTAATATAGTTTAATTTATATAAAGAAAAAATAATATTAATAATGAAATTATTTATTATGTAATATATATTAACGTTTTACATTATTAATATAAATAATTTTGGCAATACATTAGTTTATATAGGCCCAATACATAAACTCACTCTTTTATTACAAATATATATGCATTAGTGCTAGTCTATTTACATTATGGTTTATGGTTTAGTGTTTAGTGTTTATGGTTTAAAGTTTAGGGTTTATGATTTATGATTTAGAACTTAGGGTTTTTATAAACTATATACTTTAGTACTTTATATAGTTTATGCATAGTGTTTCTATAAACTATATAAGTAATTTATTTTATATAGTTTATGTATATATATATAATACATGTTTTATACATACATATTATATAAAATTATTTAATAAAATTAATAAAATTATTTAAATATAAATTATATAAAACATGATTAATTAGGTGTTAAATAATTAGTATGTCATATTGCATATTATATGGTTCATAAATAGTAGTACATGTCATATTAATTTCATTTGCATAATTAGTATTTTAGTTGCATGTCAGGTTAATTCACATTAATAGCCCAATTATTTTGTTGTTATGAATAAGTAATAATAAGACTAAAAAATAAGTCAATTTGCAATAGTGATAGTCCATTTACATTAGTTTACATAGGCCCAATACATAAACCCACTCTTTTATTACAAATATATATGCATTAGTGCTAGTTCATTTATATTAGGGTTTATAGTTTAGTGTTTAGTGTTTATGATTTAGGGTTTCTATAAACTATATATTTTATTACTTTATATAGTTTATGCATAGTGTTTCTATAAACTATATAAGTAATATACTTTATATAGTTTATATATATAGAGAGAGGTTATATATATATATACTATACATGGTTTATACATACATATTATATAAAATTATTTAATAAAATTAATAAAATTATTTAAATGTAAATTATATAAAACATGATTAATTAGGTGTTAAATAATTAGTATGTCACGTTGCATATTATATGGTTCATAAATAGTAGTACATGTCATATTAATTTCATTTGCATAATTAGTATTTTAGTTGCATATTAGGTTAATTCACATTAAAAGTCCATTTATTTTGTTGTTATGAATAAGAAATAATAAAACAAAAAAATAAGTCAATTTGCAATAGTGTTAGTCCATTAGTTTACATAGGCCTAATATATAAGCTCACTCTTTTATTACAAATATATATGCATTAGTGCTAGTCTATTTATATTAGGGTTTATGGTTTAGTGTTTATGGTTTAAAGTTTAGGGTTTAGGGTTTAGGGTTTCTATAAACCTATATACTTTGTTACTTTATATAGTTTATGCATAGTATTTCTATAAACTATATAAGTAATTTACTTTATATAGCTTATATATATATAGGTTATATATATATATATATATAGGGTATATATATATATATAGTTTATATATACTATACATGATTTATACATACATGTACTATAAGTTATATATATAGTTTAGGGGTTAGGGTTTAGAGTTTAAGGTTACTAGTTTAGGGTTCACAATTTAGGGTTTAGGGTTTAGGGTTTTATAAACTATATATTTTATCACTTTATATAGTTTATGCATAGTGTTTCTATAATATATATATATATATATATATATCTATATATATATATATCTATAATTATTATACTTATTATACATATATATACTATATTAATAAATTATAATTTATAAACTATATAGTTTATACATACATTCATACATACATACATACATACATACATACATACATACATACATACATACATACATACATACATACATACATATATATATATATATAGAAAATTAAAAGTAATTAGAATGTATACATGATTAAATTGCATTGAATTAAAAATTCAAGAAGATATTTACAACTAAACCATGACTAAAATGAAAGAAATCAAAAATCAAATACAAGTGGAAAAATGATGATTGTTGGAGGAACATGAGCCTAACTAACCCAAAATATCTTTCCCGATAAAAACTCAATTTCCCTCTAAATTTCCCAATTTCCCTCTAAATTTCCCAATTTCCCTCTAAATTATCAATTTCCCTCTAAATTATCAATTTCCTTATATTCTCAAAATTTCTTAATTTCCCTCTAAATTCCCAAATAAAATCAAAAAAATTCACACAAAAAAATTGTTATTTTAAAAAGTTTTCTCTCACCACTCACTTTAAATAATATATATATATATATATTAAATAAATTATAGTTTATAAACTATAAACTTTTTATAGTTTATACATATATAATTTACATATATAGTTTATATATATAGTTATAAACATAATTATATATATAACTTATAATATATAGTTTATAATATATATATAATTTATATATATAGTTTATATATAAACTTATAATATATATATATATATATATTATATTTTTTTCAATTTTTTAAATGAATGCAATTTACTATAT